GATTACTAATATAAATACTCCAATAATTGAATAATTAGTACAGCCAATCAGAAGTGGTGGGGGAAATTAGTAAATCCGTCCCGAAGGGTAATTTACTAGTCTAGATTTGAATTGGCTAATTGATGTGAACAGAAAATCGATTACACTGTTCTGTATATATTGTTTCAACAGTAATAGCAAACATTAGAATATCAAATAACATATAGCATGACGTAAATAGTGACGTATTGACATGACATGACATATTATGACGTGAGGTGACGTGAAGGTAGCTACCTTTGAGCTAAATGTCTGCAACTATAGTTGGCAGGCATTATTGCTTAATGTCAGTCTAGCCTGAATCTAACGCCAAACTTTTGTCGATCTGCTGAATTTTGGTTGAGTTGCTAGTTTTTTTATGCATTAAAAAAACTACTTTGAAACAGAAAAAATAAATATAAAAATTAATTTTAAAAAAACTATCGCTATATAACGACAATACAAAAAAGCAGCTTAAAACACAATCTCGAGACAATGCCCGAGTTTAAAGCTAGCTGTGATACAATTACCGTTACAATGAAATCATGTAGTAATCATGATAAGATAAATAAATATCGATATGTACGTGCCAGATGCCGTGCCACTTTATATACGTATACTATTTATGTATTATCTATTCTATATCTCTATGACAGTGGGACGAAATTAATGACGACAATTCAGGAACTGTGCTATATCGATATTTAAGCTATATCGATATTTAAACTATATCGATATATTATTAAATAATTTGAACGTACATATCAATACGTACGTACAAGATTCTTAGCGAAATTTTATGTCCTTAAATGGCTTACAAATTAAGTACGTACGTACTTTAAACCGATCTTAACAGTTAAGATCTATTTATACGAATAAGCTCGTCTCCATAAGACTACATATCGAATTTAATCACTGGATATCGAAAAAAAGGGGTAGCTTATTTTGGCATATAGGACATATACTATGTTAGGTAAAAAAAATATATGTACATACACCGATACATTTACATGGGTAATTTTATTACAGGGTAAATCGTGGTTACACGAGTAAAGTCTCAGGAAAGAAGCGGGTGTTCTCAGAAACGATGCTTTTTGCTACTCCTGTGAACAAACATCGCACAGATTTAAATTATTTTAAAAGGTGCGATTAAGTTTTCCTTCGATTCAAATTTCAATCGTCGCCTGCGTTTGTTGGGGATCTAAAGGCCTTCTTTTCTTCATTTGATGCTTTGGTATCTGACTACTTTTGTGGAAGTGATGCTTTTGCTCTTTAACGGTCGAACCACTTTCTTGAAGCTCAAAACCCAAAACATATCTTTTAAACATCTCTGATTTTTTTTTGAGTTTGATACCTAAATTTTACAACTATCTACGGTCACATTACCAATTTATCTGAATAATTGTTGAGTATAATGGCACAAACTTATAGCCAGCAGCAGCCAATGCAACAGTCTCAAATACCAGAATATACCTTACCGGGCGTGCTTCGTTTTCTCCAATTAGAATGGAGGCGCTACGAGCGAGACAGAAATGAATGGGAGATTGAGCGTGCCGAAATGAAGGTAATTTAATTTGCAAAAACATTTACTTTACTATTATTATTATTATTATTATTATGATTGTTATTTTGGTTTTGAATTCTCTTTTATTTTTATTTTTATTTTGTTTGGTGAACTAGAATAGTTTACCAGGTTGAAAAAATAATACAAATTAACTTATTATAATTTAAATTTTAATTTATTGTCAAAATTTTTCGAATAAAAAGGCCCGCATCGCGTTATTAGAAGGAGAACGTCGTGGAATTGAAACTATGAAAG